TCGATAATATTACTACTTCGCCATACATTTACGAGTAAAGATGGGATGCTCAAGGCAAGCCACGCGCCCCCCAAATCACATTTATCGTGGGACCGGTTTCAATAAGGCGGACCGGTATGTGTCAGTGCAGTTGATAACTTTGAAATACCATTGGAGAAGATTTGTCGAAACGACTAGTGTATCTTTAATAAGAAATTTACTCACCCTTTTGGCAGCTAAAGCTGTGTGAACTTCAATGACATCCTGAGTTGTATTCATTTCATTTTACCAACTCCAATATTCAGTCCAACGTCATTTTAAGTGACTCAAATCCTTAGTCTTCTTACTCCTCAATGGGATAAAGGGGCTTTCGCAATACCAGTCTATCCTATCACAGGCGAAATATCGGCTTCGATTCCTCTTGAACGGAAGACAATTGGCAGAAGTCTGTGAGACTCAATAGGACTGGAGTACAGATCTTTTTAGGTGCCTAAACAGTAAGTTCGAGGCAATGGCTCTTTCACTCCGCAGGCACTAAACCATTAATTTCTTCCATAAATTCTAGCATACATCTAGTTGAGAGGTTCACGAATGTTTCATTCCAACTAAAAATTGATCAGTATCCTATTTTTCGTTTATGGGTAGGTTTAGAGACTACCAGTAAATCATAAATATGAGATGTATTCACCCTGTTTCGTTAAGGTGATAAAGGACTTAGGAGAGGTAGAAACTGCAGTCCATTCCTGACTGGATGAGAATATCCTTTGAGAAACAAGGCTATGAAACTCAATATAAACTTAAGGTCCACTCAAATCATTGTGGGTAAATTCAACCACTAGTCCTTCACAACATTAACGAAATAGGGTGAATACACTTCATATGTATTATGAATATCATATTTCTCTTTAAACATAATAATAAGGGCTAAGGTTAAAGGATATTAACAAATCCAGGAGAAATATGCTTGTCTCTAAAACGTAAAAATTTAAGTTTGCACATATAATACACAATTCTCATTAAATTTATTTACCTCTAGTTCATTGAAGAAGAAGTGACCATCTGCGATCATGTACACGAATTCTTCCATTCTTAGTCCGCATGCTTCAGCAAGATTTCTGTCCTAAAATAAAACATGTCCTTAGATTTGTGTGTGCATGAATGAAAAAATTCCTAACTTTAAATAAGTTCCACCTTGAAAAAGCCATCTTTATGAGACCGTTACTTCTTTTCTATCAAG